ATGGCCTCTTGCCCCCCACAGAGAGAGAATCTGTTTCTTTTGCCACAAGTCGAAGTCTCACCAGCCTAGGGTATGAAGGAGTCCTTGAGGTAGGTGCCAAATGAGAACCCAAGCCTTCAGGCAGAGCTGGATCTTTTCATTTTTAAGTAAGGCCATCTTTAAAACATGAGCAGACATAATTGCATCGTAGCACCAGGCAGGATTGCAGGGAGATCTGGATGTCCTTAAGCATAAGGATTTATAATATGTTGGCCTGCTCTTCACAGCCTTCTGTATGAATCTCCCTGTGAACAGTACCCAAATCAGACACTTTAGCCTTACCTTTCAGAACAATAAAGTTTCTTGCTTACAGGAGTTGCAATGAAGTGTACTAAAAAGCTGTGAATACCCAGATGATTCCATTATAAAACCTTTGTGTTTAATTTTAGGATCTTAAACACAAATGAAAGTCTTATAATGAAAGCAATTCTCTTTGTAGGTGTGAAGCACACCGAAAATGAACTGACTTTAGTTGGAGCTCAGTCAAGTCTAAAAATCATGCAATTAAATATGACTTTCAGGAAACATTTTAATACTTTGCTATTAGTCTTCTGTCTGTTTTGCCTGGGATTTAAATGTAAAATCAGATTTTCTCCCTAGATTGAAACTGACTTTCATCAGCAAAGGGATATTATCCAACTTTCTTAGATTTTTCAAAGATTTGCAGATAAACAAAGCTCACCAAAATTAGAGTAGTGGGAATTACTGATAAAAATGTAAAATAAAATAGCAGATCTCTTTGCCTTTCTATGCCTGTTACATAAAGTGGGGCCAAAAAAAATATACCCTCACAGGAGTATAACATGGACAGCTGGTCAGAAATTTTCTATAAAATAGTTTCTTTCAACAAGCATCATGGGGAATTTAATAAGTTTTGCATAACTCAATCTATGGAGAACAAATGCGACAGGAATCAAAACTTGTGCTATCATTAGACTTCAGTGATATTTCAAGGTTGTTGAGTTTTTCTTGTTTTGTTTAATAAGATTTGTTTAATTTTAATAAGAAATACAAAGTAATCTTTTAAAAACATCTGTTTTTTAATTACTATTTTTGATATGTAAGATAATGGGGGTGTTCAAGGAAAGGCTGGATGTTGTGTTGAGGGACATGGTTTAGTAGGAGCTATTGGGAATAGGTGAACGGTTGGACTGGGTGATCTTTTAGGTCTTTTCCAACCTTGGTGATTCTATGATTCTATGATACCACAAAGCAGATCTATAAAGGAGATAAACCCGTAACTTATCCTAGAAAATCCCTTTCCTATAACCATTAGTTTTCAGGCACATTCAAGATTCTGCTCAGGCTGAAATACCAGCATCAAGGCATCTCCTTATCAGCTGTGTGCTGAAGATCACCAGGTAGACAAGAGACTTGACTGTCTATGAAAAGATACAGCTCAGGAAACAATAGCATGGAACTTCTTTTTGGGTGCTACAAGGTGTACCATCAGTTCATTGCTTCTTTTAAATGTTGCTATTCTCCTGCACACACACTTGCTTGGCATGAATATCTTGTTACCGTAAGGCATCTGATGTGGCACCAAAGACACATTCTTACTCAGCTTCACGTTGCAGCCAGAATCAATGGAGTAGCTTCTCATAAAGGAGATGTCTCTTTTTCAAGTGCCAGACTCCAGACATCTCTGACTGTATTGAGTAAAGCCCCAGGACTCAGTTCGGTTGCCTAAACATTGGCATCTGCTACCAACATGTAAAGATGCATAAAAGAAACCATAGAAGTGTCTGGCCTCTGAACACCTAGAAGCAAGGTGAACTTAAAGGAATTCTGTATCTTGTCTTCCAATTCCACACGAATGACTCAGGTGCCATAGGGCATCTCAAATCAATGAAGACTTTGCCATGTAGGAAACTGAATTAAGTCAATTTGATTGTGAAGGGAGTTTAGGATACAGCTACAAGTTGACACCGTTGCTTACACACCTAAATATCATATTTTGTCCCATTCTGGTGCTTACTGCAGTCTTGTTCAGCATTTGAGAACGTTTTCTACCCTCATTCTTAGCCCTATTTTTTCTCAGTTTTCACTGTAGTATTCCCACTTCACTCTTCAGGGCGTATTGAGCTATTATATGAACACAGCACTATTCCTTTTGCTCAAGAGTGGAAATGTTCAAAGACAAAAAGGCCAAGAGAATTCTTTTCTAGTCAATCCTTTGTTAAACTTACTATTCCTATCTACTGGAAATGAATGACTGTAGGTACTTCTTAAACAGATAACTGGTTTCTTTCGCACATAAGTCCATAAATATTTTATGTATTTCTTGGTTCAGTCAGTTCCCCAAAACGTGGCACAGAAGACCACACAAGCAATGTAAAAACCATGAGATATTCTAGCTAGTACAGATGTATTTGGATGTTATTTTTCTTGCTTTCTGATAATGTTAGCTCCTTCACATTTTCATTTCTCCAGACTTGCAAAGGATAAAAATGAAGATGAATTCCAACACAAAATCTTTAAATCACCTGACCTTAATATTGGACTTGAAAGGGCTAAAAATACTCTTATATGTATGCTTGAGCTGGTATTGGTTTTGCAAACATTAAACAGAGAAGACAACTATGATGATTTCTTTTCTTAGTATGCCAGACATTTCCCAAAAAAAGTATATGATAATAACAAAATTAAAAAATGTTCCCAAAACTCCATTTTCTTTAAAAGGTTCAGATATTACTGTAAGTCCAAACTTCAAGAGTCATTGGTATCATTACTCGATGCCTGTAAAATAGTCCTTGTAAGTATTTCATTATCATTTTCCTCTCGCTGCTAACTAGAGATAAACACAGCTTCCTGCTTTGAAAAGCGACTGGAATACTGGTGAATAAACATTCCAAAAGTAAGCTATTTTTTTAATTGCTTTCAGAATATCCTTCATAAAAGACTGGGCAGTTCCCAGTCTGAAACAGTGACGGAGTTCCACGCTGAGCCCTTCTTTTGGTTAGGACTTCCTTAAGCGTGGTGTCTTCCTTAGCATTCCCAACAAACAAGGTTCCCACATCCAGCAGAGACAGGAAGATCACCCTGAAAAACATCTTGGAGTCTTTCCCATGCTTGTTTTTGATATGTCCAACATCTTGGCAGTCGTCCATGTCTTGTAGAAACTCTTTTCCCCAGACCACTATTTTTTTCACTGTTTTCTTAAACAGCTTCAAAGACTGAGAAGCCAAAATGTGGAGGAGAGGAATTCCCATTGAAGTGAAGTGTTCCTATTTCTGACCTCCACATGGCTCTGTGCATTAAATTGGAGTTTACTGATGTGGTGCCTCAGACACCTGCAGTTACACGGGGGAGAAGACCTTCACTAGCACAGGATGAAATAGTTTTTATTACTGAAATAAGTATTTTTAAAACTGCAATGATATTTCAACATTTGAAGTAGTTTTCCACTTTTTAATAGTTTTTAAACGGAAGAAAAACATTTGGAAGGATTATGTTTTTTTGCTTTGGGTTTCTTTGCTTCTGTTTTTGTTCATATTCTTCCACCTAGAACTTATCAAAATTATTCATTATAAGAATGAAAAGAATTTAGTTACCCATCTTAAGATGTCTAGTACCACCTGAGAGGCCCTGGGCCTTACGCAAACAGTTTACGCTGCACACACATAATTTGAACAGACAGAACTGGAGTCAGTTTCTTAACAACTGATCTCTAGTGCCATTTCTGACATCCTGAAATCCTTGCAGAGCTGATGACTGGTACAGAAAACTGTGGAAAGTAGGAGAATTTCGGGATCTGCAAATAGAAGCCAAGCTAAGGTGCTTAAATGCAGTATGTACCTATATGTGCCAATGCATCTTTAAACTTAAATGAGATTTACCCACTATAAGACTGCTTGGCAACTCCATTAAGGCTTCAATTCAGTAACTGATATGTGAAAAGCACTGCTGAAATTCAGACACTTTACAGTGCAAAAAACATGAAGAACAAACTGCTATCTTGAGAAAACGGCTTATATGAACTAAAGGTGCAATAAGGTAAATCCACCCTAGGAAATTCAACCACCAATGCAAGAGTGTTGGAAACTGGCTATTTTTACAACTCACTGATCCTGGTCCAGTATTAGATATAGAAGTTGGTGGCCATGCATGAGGCAGGGGGCTTGGAGCTTGATGATCCTCGAGGTCCCTTCCAAACCAAGCCATTCTATGATTCTATGATGATTTGTCTGTGTGTTTAGCCTGGCTGAACTAGTTCTAGGTGTAACATTTCCTGGGCATTGTTTGGGCCAAGAGTTATTCCCAAAGGGCAGTTTGCACCCCACACTGTTCGATGCTCAGGAAGCTTAGCAGTCACAATCATGACCAAACTATGCCAATTGCCCTGGCACTGTTTAATTTCCTACTGTGTATGCAACCGTACATGCCTCCACATGGTATCATAGAATCATCATAGAATCATAGAATGGCCTGGGTTGAAAAGGGTCGCAATGACCATCCAGTTTCAACCCCCTGATATGTGCAGGGTCAGCAACCTCTAGACCAGGCTGCCCAGAGCCACATTCAGTGGATAATCAGAATAATCGGAGCTTGCTTGCAAGTCTGACCTGTGAATAAGCCACACAGACTTGGCTACTTTCACCTAAGGAAAGGGGAATCAGTCCTTCTGGGACTGTAAAAGTAGCAGTGCTGGGCAGCCTAGGGCATAGATCCCCTCTTGGCTCTGAAGTCAACAATACCATGTCAATCTGCAATCCACAGATCTGTCCCACAGTGCTTTAGAAGTGATGCTCCTACCAAAAGCAACCTTTGAAGCTGTATGCAGTCTGCTCTCACTGCTCTGCTCTTTTATTTTCTGTTTCTCTCACAGGTAATAAATAGTTTAGGGAGTAAGTCTCGATTTTCAGTCTGAAATGTGTGTACTGTAAACACTTCAACGTACGTAAGTCTGTATATATTTACGCGTGCATGCATTTCTTTTTCTTTCTCTTTCCCATCTGCAGTTTGATCACTCACGGTTTTGGAACTCCTGCAATATGTGCTGCCCTAAGCACTTTCCAAACTGTTCTCAGTGAAATGCTGAACTACTTGGAAAAGCACACATCGCACAAAAACGGAGGAGCGGCGGAATCCGGCCAAGGACACGCCAACTCGGAGAAAGCCCCCCTACGGAAAACTTCAGAGGCTGCTGTGAAAGAGGGCAAAACAGAAAAGACAGACTAGCTACATCAAACAGAATCTATTTCAAGAGAGTCTTGCTGCTGATATTTTTTTTAAATATATATATCATTGAGGGCGATTTATCTCCAGTGGACCAAATCAGAAAAAAAAAAGAACCACAAAAAAAAACAAAAAACAAAACAAAACAAAAAAAAAAACGGGGGGGGGGAAGGGGAATAAAAAAAAAAAAAAGAAAGAAAAAAGAAAAAAAAAAAGGAAAAGAAAAAAGAGAAAGATTAAAACAGAGAGAAAGAGAGAGCGCGAGAGAGGAAAGTATTCAACCCTAAGAACAGCAGTGTACAGTAATTGTGTGATGAAATTGTCACTTTTTTAAAAATTTATGTTGCTCTAAAACTACTTTTCGTGCATGTAGTATTTGATTGTTCTGAATGATACACTAACACTGTTTTTTATAAGCACTTCTGGACTTGGCTGAGGTGGCACATGGCGTTCGTTGCAGGCTAATGTGGAGCACTTTCTTCTCCGGCAGCAAAGTCAGGGCCAGCACATCAGCTGTGGGACATGCAGTTCTAGTATACTGGCTTTGCTTGCATGCTGGATAGGTTGGAAGAAGGGCTTCCTCTGGTCCATCAGAAATGCCTGATCCACTCTCCGCTGGGAAGACAATATGGAAACCTGGCTAGAGAGGAATCCACAGGTCGTGGGACAGATGAACTGTTCATTGCTGGGGGCTGCATCTCCCCACATGGGAATGTATGATAAAGCTGCACTGAAACAAGGCCAGAACCTGTTAGGAATCTGTCCTGGCTATTCAAGCAGCAACTGAAGCATCTCCTGTGAGCAGAATGTGGCAGACTAAATGAAAAACAACATGCCTCGATAGTTTCATTAAAAGCCCTGATCTCCTGTGAACTTCAGATTAAAAGACTGTATGGGCTTCTGTTCTCTGTCTTCTCAGTCCCTGGCCCCACAGTCTGCCATACCCAGGTCTCCATTCAACAGGATCAACGCAGGCAATCGGAGTCTTCTTTTGTGTTGCCTTCATTTTACGATACTTTCTTTTCTCCAGCAGCTTGTTTCTGCAGCTTTACTGTCTTTGGAAATCCAGCTGAGGTGCAGAGGTCTAACAGAATCCACTCACACACACAAAAAAAAAATCTATAAAATAATAACAAAATGACATATATGTCAGATTGGCACGGTCCACAGCAGTTAAGTGGTTAACAATCTTACTAATATATTCCTGAAATATTTCTTTACCACTCAGCACACATCCTCACAAAGGAAACATTGAAGATGTAGTTTGAACTCAGGCCTCTTTGAGTCTGGAGGCATTTTGCAGCCATATTCTGGATTCTTCAATGAAACATTCATTCAATTCCTTTTCTGTTATCATTTTATTGAGAAAATTAGGAAGGACTGATGACATGGAGTGGGATTATGCTGATAAGTAAACCCTTTCTAAAATGAACAAAATCAGTTTATTTCTTCCCAATGATAATTCATCTCTTTCTACAGCAGGAAAAGAAATACAATTGTCCACATGTGAGTGTTTGGAGCAATTTGAGATGCTTTAGGGTGTCTAAGACAGCCACAGTTTTGGTAGAAATGACACAAAACATGTAGGAGATTGGTATTCCTAGAAGAGGAGCTGGAGGACCCCCTAGGACAGCACTACAGATGTATGAGTGGCCACTTGACATGCACACCAAGTTTCTAAGACAGATGAGAGGGGTCTGGAAGTTCATGCCTTTCTCCACCAATAACTGGCATTTAATGGTGGTGTTTTGTACTGCATATGGTTAGATTGGACTAGTCACCCTCTGCTCCCCATAATCAGAAGAGAGGGAAAGGTGCTTAACAGTTCTGAAAATGTGTCTTTTTTTCCAACTAGATATAAAGGAAGACAGGACTAAAAGCATTCATATTCTTTGTAACTTTCCAGTGCTAGTTAAGACACATAACATTCTTCATGACCTGCTTTAGATTTATCAACTTAGAGACTGTAAAGACTCTCCAAAGGCATTTACATCTATGACGTAGGGAACCAGATGATTAACTTGATCAGCCTCACTCTTCAAATGTATGGAAGAAAACAAAACATTTATGGCATGATACTGTCCTTTTTGAGATCAATAAGGACACTCATCAAGGTGAGAAAGCATGCTAAATCTAGCAGAGTCCCTATTTCCTTGTGTGAGGAAATCTGAAACAAAACAAAAAATCCCTATGATTTTGTTCAGATTTGTCTTTGCTCAAGTGTATAACTTAGGTATCTACTTTAATACCATCAATCTAGGCTTCCTCTTTGCAGGGAAATGAGGGAAATACATGCATCTCCATGGGATTCAAACTCCTTAACTCACTAGTATCAGCTAAGTGCATAACAGAAATTAAACTGCTGAATTAAGTTGTCGCTCCAGTGCTCTGTGCTAAAATAAAGTGAATGTTCTTCAGTGATGTCTTCAACACCGTCTGCTTCACTGTGGAACCACTCTAGAAAATGAAATACTTGAGTGTGGACGTAGGCGAGCATGGATTAAAAGTGGAAAAGAAATTCATTTTCTATTGTCCAAACTGAAGGAGAGAAAGAAAAAGGGGAGAAAATTAAATATCTGACTGTGTCACTGAGACAGATTTGCCTCACGAAAATGTACTGTGGAGAAATTTAATTGTGGTTCTCTACTTCAAGATGTGAATAAATTCAAATTGTTTTGGTGGACAGAGGAGAGAAGCAAAAATGTTTGAAAACCCTTTTCACATTTCTCAGTGAAGTATCAGTCTTCTGAAGGTGGGGAAGTGACTGTGTAGATTATTCTGTAAAACTGTTGAGAAAGCAATAACGTACTACAACCATGCTTAATATTTGAAATAACATGTATGCAGAATTATTTGAAATATTCACCTATTGGGGTATGATCCAAGGTTCCAACAGTAATTTATTTAAAGAGTTGCACCTATTGTTATTGCAAAATCCCTATGAGCCTTTGCTCTGCTGGCAACAATTGTTTTTTCATCTTGATGATCACTTGATCTATAAATATTAACAAATCTGGATATTCTTAAAGACCCAGAACTTCTAGTTTTAGCCTTAATGACCTCTGGATTTTTTGAAGGTTTCAGTATGGATCTGGTTCAGATTGATTGAACTCCTAGAAATTCTTACCATTAAGAATCTGTTTGCATCTTCATCTCCATTTTTCCTATTTTTCCTTTGAAATCTTACCATATTAAAAAAAAAAAAAAAAGAAAGAATCCTTTTTAAAATTTAACTGCAATGTTTATTGTCATTCACAGGCTTTGTTATTTATTTTTCTCAGTACTTAATTTTATTGAAAGAAAAAATATTCGCTACTCCCTCTTCTGTTGAATTATCTATGGAATAGTTTGACATCAGAAAGCCTTTGGTTTTCAAAATTGAATCTTTCAGTGTGGTTTTAACTGATTAATTCACTGAGGTTTTGGTTAAAATCTCAGCCTAAGTTCTCATCCATTTTCTACACATACATGAACATTGTTCCCATGGTTTTGCTTTTATTTTTGCTTTTGTTTTTGCTTTTGCTTTTTTTTCCCCCATTTCTAAGACTTCGTCTCTGTGGAAATATCCTCATTTCAAAACACACTCATGAATTAGATCAGCCTGAAGGCCAGGCATGGTTTGAAGTTACTGAGTGCTCACTGGTAACCAATTCAAGTGTATTTGTACCTCTTTGACTTTGAAATAAACCTTATCTGACAAAAAGAAGTTCTCCCTTTGTGAGATGATGGAATTGTTTATTCCACACTGGTCAAAAACATTTAAATACAAAAAAGTGCCCAAACCCATGAGTCATTGCAATGTTGGAAACCTTGAAATAATTAGGTTCATATCTCAAGAGCTGTCCAAGTATTTGGGTCCTGTGGTACTTCAGGCTATTTTCCAGCTTTGTACACATTGCATTTTTCCCACCATGACTACCAAAACATGTTGAATACTACCATTGAGTGACAAAGACCACCCTCTTGGATTTATTAGCAACTTAAACATGAAGTAAACTTGCTGATTAACCACTCTTTATAGAGCAAGATGGTATTTATTGTAAGGTGGGCACAAAGAGCTTGTGGCATTGACTAAGTTTAGAAGGTAAGTCTCTAGCAGACCTACAAGTGATGTTCTCACCTCCAACCTCTACCCTAAGAACTGGGTTTCTTTTCACAAAGGCTTCCACTAATACTATGAAATGGCAGAGATGAGTAGCAAAGGGATATTTTTACACAGATTATGAGGACTGGTACAGTATGTGTCTTGTGAAGGGGAGATAAGAAGCAACCTGCAATTGACAACTGAAAACTGCCAAGGGTTCTGTCCCTGATGCTGCCATCCTAAACCTTAATTCTTTTCAGGTGTCATTCTGTTGCCTTGGGGAACTAGCACAGGGGGTGAATTCAGATCTTTCGTTTACCATTTTTTAAAAGATAATCTCCAGTAATCGCTGGGAAAAGACTTCACTTCTCCAAATCAAGAAGGAACCTGTTGCCCTTTGAAGCTTCTCTTTAACTGTTCCTAAAAATAACAAAAAATCTGCTACTAAGAAGATGAAAAGTACAGTCCTTCCAAATCTGGGACCTCTGTGTACATATTTCCTCGGCTCCTTTGAATGCAACTCAGTGACACATCTGCTGCTCACTATTTTACAGCAAGGCTGAAGAGATGCTGCTTTCGTGTCCTAAGAGCTAATTTCTCTAACTGCCTTTTTATTTGTTTGATTGTTTGTTTCCTAATATTCCTAATACCAGAAAGCACATTTCTTCTTAGATATCTTAGGTATCCAGAAGAGCTGCTGATGACTTCCATTGCCATTTGACTTTCCTTTAACTTTTGGAGACAATGTCCTGCTGCTCTAATCTTCATTTTTATGGACAATAAAAAAATCACAGTGGTAACAGAAGACATAAGATTGCCACACAAGGCAAAAATCAGCAAATGTATCTGTATAGGAACTGTAACTGTAAAAATATTGTCTGCCTCTGCCCACATTACAGGTTCAACAGGACTTCAAGTACAACTGTGTGGGGAACGAGGGAGAGAGGAAAACTGTCATTTTCCTTTGCCAGGTGAAGCTCATCTGAGAGGTCTAATCTTTTTTTTTTAATTATTCCTACTCTTTAAGT